ACGTACCCTCATGCCCTGCAGGTTCGAATTTTGTTTTGTTGTCTGTCTGTAACCGCAATTTAAGCAAGTTTTCCAGCCTACACCACTGCCATCTCGGTGTAAGTAAACAGTCTTTAAAACTACCACTAAGCGTTTGTGCCTAATTCCAGCTCGACGGCCTTCCCTCTCCGACCCGGCGTGCCCGGGCTGCTGGCCACAGCCCGCGTGCAGCACGGAAAAGGGCTCGGGTCGCTCCCGGCCCGCACACCTACATGATAGATAGATAGATAGATAGATAGCTATTAGTGGCGTTTCATTTTAATCATACATTTTGTTGTTTGGGGGGGGGGGGTTTAATCAGAGAATTTGGGATTTTTTACAAAGAAAATCAGGATTCCTGCTTATCAGCCCTGCTCTCAATCTATTAAGCTCTCTTTTCATTCTACTTGTCAAAAGTTCCTGTAACACTAGGTAGACACCAATCAGTACTGCCTGACATTTCTTTCCAGACATCTCGATCAGTATAAAGTTCATTGGCACATTTAATGTCTCTTTTTAGCTTCCTAGACTACTTTTCCCAATTCATTAAATAAGCCAGGCACTCAATTATTTGTATCCATTTTTTATTGAAAAGTGGCATTTTTCTATTATACTTTCTCTTAATATTAAATGCATATGAAACATCATTTTATTTTTAGTTACAACAACAACTTCTTATACTAAGTAGCAAAAAAACTATGCCTGCCTACTCCAGTAAACCATTTGGACTGCCAACCATTTGTTGAGCCAGGTGCTTGATTATCCTTTTTTAAATTGTTGCCGGCTTCACTTAACTATATACTTTGTGACAGCACTGCAACCTCCCCTTTAAAAGTGTTTTTACGCACCAAAATAGCTGAAGAAGTTATACTTGCTTATTTTAAGTATTTTTCATATACAAATTACTATTGTTGAGTAATAAGGTCTATAGACTTTATTCTTTCCCCTGCCACAAACCTATTGCATCATCAAGGGCAAGTTACTTCACATCTGTCCTTCATATCCACCATCCATGAAATGGAAACACTATCAAACCTTTTTTATTAAACAACAACAACAAATGTTGAAATTTATGGCAGAAATGCACCTTAAGGGATATACTAGTGATGAATGATGCAATAAAGTTCAACTGAGAGAGAACGACTGGGGCAGCAGCTCCAGATACCGTCTTTTGGGGGTTGGAGAAGCAAACAATAACCATTACTGCAACTGGCCATGCGACTGCCACTAGCAGCCAGTGCTGCTCCACGCACCACTGCTGCTCAAGGCACCTCTGTCCTCAAGGCATACCTGTCATTGATTTGCAAATGGTTATGAAAAAAAATTATTTAATCTTATTCAATTTCTGTAAAGCAGATACTAGTTAATTTTGCAAAGTATAACATATTGCAGCAGTTCTTAAACATAACATTTACTGATAAACAAAATACCTTTCTTCTTTTTTTTTAGAAGCTTTAAATGCCATAAGTGTTTGTTAAGTATATGAATACTGGTTATCCTTCTGCTTTTCTGTCAATTACAAAAGATAATGCTATAAACTGTAGTATTTTCACATGCTGTTAGCATTCCAGGGCAGAACATACTCTTGAAACTTGAAAGATGGAATAATTGTTTAAAAAAAGGGAAAGTGTTTTTCCTCATTTGGAATAAAAAAAAAAGCTTCCATTAACTGTACACTACAGGGAATTATAAAGAAATTAAACTTGCATTTTGAACAGCAAAAGGAAATTGAACACCAATACTGAAATCATAATACAGTGATACCACAAAACAGGATGCTGATTAGAAAGTTTAAAGACAATTAAATTGGAGCTAAGTTCAAACAAATACAGTACGTACTCCTAATTGCTGAGCAACCCATGACAAGGCTGAGTAGCACTTTCTCACCTGACCAGGCTGTAAGGCCTAGTGTCACAACTGCTAAAACATACCTTGAGTGAATTTGAATGCATATGGACTTAAATTTATTCATAAACAGATTTTGTAATGAATATTCACTTCACATTAGAAATCCAGATACATTTGATTTAAAATTTAAGGTCAAGTTTCTGGGTATAAATAGGTGTTCATTTATAGAAGAGAAAACTTTTAAGAAATTCTATGGTTACAGGAGCTGAGCAATGCACAGGCAATCTTTCTGTTAGAGCAACTCTCACAGAGGACAACATCAGGTGTCAACAAGGAAGTTCTTTCTCCTGGACCAGGGCATGTTTCCCCACAGAGAAATTTAATGAATGTTCGTACATTCTAATATCTACAGCGAGAGCAAATATTCTCCCATAGAAATATAATACCTGTACATGGCCTGGTTGAATTAAAAGGCAGTTTATTTAATTGCTTCACTAGTTATATAGTTCACTATTACATGGTTATCAACCCTAAGTGATAAATGACTAATAAGAAGAGAGTTGATAGATATAAGATGCTGTGGTTCTTAGCCTAGTATCCAGACCTTGGAATCCTTCTTCCTCTCACTTTTCCATGTGGAAAGGTATGGGGAGGGAGGGAGGGAAAAGTATCACTATACACCAAACACCTAAGCAGAAGACATGGATATTAAAGTTGAAAAGACAGGCGCACAACAGTCAGAAAATTCAGAAAACTTTTCTCCCCCATACATTATAGTTTCACAGTTGGTAGGGTCGGAAGCCAGTCTGTCACTGGTCATAAAAAATGAGCAGATGAGCAGATCATCAAGTCCGACCCCCTGCCATGGGCAGGAAAGGATGCTGGGGCCAAATGACCCTGGCTAAGTGATTATCTAGCCTCCTTCTGAAGACCCCCAGGGTAGAAGCGAGCACCACTTCCCTTGGAAATTGGTTCCAGATCCTAGCCACCCTGACTATGAAGTAGTGCCTCCTGATACCTAGCCTGAATCTACTCTCAGTCAACTTATGACCATTATTCCTTGTTACTCCCAGTAGTGCTCAGGGGAACAGGGACTCTCCCATTGCCTGGTGGTCCCCCTTGGCCAGTTCACAGACAGCTACCAGATCCCCTCAGCCTTCTCTTGCGGAGGCTGAACAGGTTCAGGTCCTATAGACTCCCCTCGTAGGGCCTGCCTTGCTGCCCCCTGATCATGCGAGTGGCCCTCCTCTGGACTCTCTCAATGCTGTCCACATCCCACCTGAACTGCGGCGCCCAGAAATGAACACAGTACTCTCTTGATTTTTTAACTTGTTATGTATTTCATGGTGTTACTGTATTTCAGTAGCAGATCTATGCACAAAGGAGACTATATACGCCTGCTGGTTAAAAATAACCTTTCTATTCCCAAGTGCCATAAGGAAATAAATGTTATTACAGATGAAAATGCAAAGACATTTTCTGTTAAAATAAAAGGTTCCATGGGAATGAAAAGTTACGTTCCCTAAAAAAAAAAAGTGTTCTTGATAGGCTTCTAAAAAATCACGCTGAAGGTACTAGCAAGGATTCCAGGTTTTTCTCATAAAACTTTCAGATTTAAAACAATGACATCAATTGCAGCTTTTTTATATAAAAGCAAAAAAACACAAAACAAACAAAAACAATAATTTGTTACATCAAATTAAAATACCCTATTTACTCAAATAGAAGATAACCCTGAATATAAGCTCACCCCCCAGTAATTAGATTCTACATGGGGAAACACTGCTGTCACCCGCTGTTGTACTCCCCCTGCCCTCCTCAGCCTGGCTCCTATCATTAGTGGAGCCGTGTGAGATGAGGAAAGACCAAGTTGTCCTGTGCCTCATCTGCATATAAATTATTGGAGCATCCCAGGACTCATGAAAAGAACACCCAGTTCCAGTCATGAGTGGTGGGCTAATCAGCGCATGGATCCTTTGGCAGGGGGAGGGTGTTAATATAGAGTACACACACATACAGACAGTCCTGTACATGCAAGTAGCTGCTGAAGTGATGCTCAAAAGTGGGTTTATGAAGTATCTGCGCTAAGACTTGCAGCATTTAAAAAAAAAAGGTAATGTGCATCAATTCTGGACAAACTGAAGCCTATACATTGTTTTCAAATTTCTTCCACACTTCCATGTGCTCAGGGAGAGCAGGGTCTGCCAGCAAAGAGAAGGGGAAGGGGCTATCAGGGGAAAAATTTGGGAAGAAGCAGAGAGCAAAAAGCTACTTGACCTCTCAAATTTATTTTCCCTGCTACGGCGGGGGGGGGGGGGGGTCGGCCGAAACAAAACAAAAA